CCATTCTTTATATCACCTATTCAGTGCCCAGTCTGTAATCCACCTTCTTGTTGGTGGAAAATGGAGAGCATTTGCATAGTGTTATTCCACTAAGTAGCTTTCCTCGATGGCACTAGTAAGCACTACCTTAGTTGTAGTACAGTAATTCTGTGGCACCAGGCAATATAATACATTGAAGATAAATAAGTGAATGTTTCTGTTGCTTTTAGAATAGAATTAGAACTTCTAGGACAGAATTACAATTCCAAGCATATGAGGACCCTGGGCCCGCCCACCCTCTCTCCTCCCCTAGAGGTTCCAGGGGGTGGTATTAGTGATAGTGTAAAATGATAGTACATTAATGGCTGTGCAAGCCCCCGACATCCTTTCCCACAACTTGCTCAAGGTTCTACTTCTCTTACCTCACTTCTTTCCTCTTTCTGTCATTTTACTGAAGATCTAGAAACTGGTTGCTCAAGTCAGTATGCAGAAAGGCAGTGACCATGCCAGTGAAATGGGCAGGCCCCCCCAAATTTGCCTTCTCAGCCTGGGCCTGGGCCTGTAGAAGACAGAGGGAAAAGTGTGGCCCCAGGCTTGGGGGACAGAAACCCCACCCACTAGGGAAGTGTGGCCCAGTGAAGCTCATGAGATTCGGTCAATCTGTAAAAACTTTCTTCTGAAGGAACTAGAGAGGGAGTAGGCCTAGGACTCATGTGGCCCGTGTGGGAGCAGGGGCTGAAATGTGACCTCCTCAGAAGAGTCTGCAGCCCCCAAGAGCGCAGCTCCGCCACCTACCACCTGTTACTGAACGCCATCCCCCTGCATTTCACCTGGAAAGTATGAGTAACTGCAGCGGGGACGAGGGTTAACTGCAGTAAGGACGTGTACTGCTCAGTGTGCGTTATTTCTCTTGTTTTATATTCTGCCTCCTTGTCTTCTGAAGCTGCTCAGTTTAGTGAGGACCTGAGGAAGCCTCCAAATGTTGGCAGAAAGATTAGGGAAAACACAATTTGTAGAACAAGAACTGACAATAGTCTGCCAATTTTTCCTCTTTAGAACTTGCCACTTTCCCAAATGCCCTGATTCTACCTTTTTTTTTCCTTTCTGCCCAGCTTCATATCCTCAGATGGTCCCAGGGTACTGGAATCCTGGGCAAGGCAGCTGGATTCTGCTGGGTAGGATCTGGCTCTCAAGTGCACTTCTGCTGTGGTGCAACTGTCATTTACTCCAATTTACCTGGCATTCAGTTGAGACTCTTTTCCTTTTCTTTCTTTCTTTCTTTCTTTCTTTCTTTCTTTCTTTCTTTCTTTCCCTCTCTCTCTCTTTCTTTCTTTCTTTTCTTTGTTTCTTTCTTTCTCTCTTTCTCTCTTTCTTCTCACCAAGGGATTGAAGCCAAGGCCTTCAGCCCTTTTAATTTTTACTTTGAGACAGGGTCTTACTAAGTCACCAAGTTGCCAAGGCTGGACTTGAACTTGCCATCCTCCTGCCTCAGCCTCCCAGAGGGCTAGGAAGGTTGAGACTTTTCCTCAGTAGTCATTTTCTCATTTGTCCTCATCCGGCTTCTTGTGGGACAGAGAATTTAAAATTTATTCCAACAGCATTGTGGTGGCATTTTCCTCCCCCAGTCTTTACGTTCATTTCCTTTAGTGCACTTTACATAGGGCAGTGAAAAACAGTTGGTAGTAGATACTGTCTAGACGCAGAATTAGATTCTTATTAATGTGAGATTCTTATCACGGTAAAGATAGAATTAACAGACTATACGGTACACTATGAACGCTGTTTAAGTTGCGCATGGTGGTGCACGCCTGTAATTGCAGAACTTGGGAGGCTGAGGGAGGAGGATCGTTGCAAGTTCGAGACCGAGACCAGCCTGGGCTACAAAGTGAGTCCAAGGCCAGCCTGAACTGCAATAGCGAGACCCTGTCTCAAAAAGACAAAAAACAAAACAAACAAAAACCCCCAAATAAACGCTGATTTACTCTTGGTTTTCACCCCCATCATGTTTTCGTTGAGACCTGGTGACAGACTAAAGGCTCAGCAAGGCAAAGGCATGAACAGGTCTGAAAAGCAGGTAGTCTACAAATTACATTATTTTAGAACACAGTCAGTTCTATCCCCTTGGTATAATCTCTTTTTCCAGCTCTCCCCTTTCTTTCCCCCACATCTTTAGCCATTCTCTCCTGGTTAAGCCAGAAAAAACCCCTGACAGATGTGAAGGGCATTTTCCAGGAAATTATGATCCCCGGATTGTAGTCCCAGCTCTGCAGTTCTTAGTGGAGTGATGGCCACCCCGTGGGCTCGGCTTTGTACGTAGAGAATAAGTAGGGGACCGGGCTGCACCCCTGAGACTAAGGGGCTCTAAGCTGTCTGCCAGCTTGGGGCCTGTCGGCCTCAGCAGCTGGTCACTTGGACAATCCCCAAAGCAGACACATCCTCAGGACCAGAGAACCGAGTAGGTCACACACAGTCCAGCCACTGTGACAGACACCGGCGCCTTTGGCTGCTTCCTGGAGCCCCCCGCCAACCCAGGGGTGAAGCTGGCCCGCAAAGCCGATGCGTATGTTGGAAAGGCCAACGCTGTCTCTAAACACAGCGTCTTGGAAATGCCCATGTCCCCAGGAAGAGGTCACTCAGCCCATTGGCTTGGTGGCGCAGAGCAAGCGTCAGGCAAACCAGGTTTCGAAGGCTGGCCCTGCCGCGTGCAGCAGCTCTTTGCCCTTGCGCAGTCCTCTGGCAGTGCCTCCCCGTCCTCCCCTGTCCCGTGGGGACGGCATCTATCCACTTCGCGTGAGTGGGTGTCTGCAGAACTAACAGCACTGACCGAGTGTAGGTCCCTGGAAGTGCTTAGTAAACGGTAGCTGGAGTTGTTATGAGCCCTTATTCCCTGGGGTCTCCGTGGATGGCGCTTGAGCTCTCCCATGGGTGGGCGGCACCGGCCCCAGGCCGGAGACCCAGCCGCGCCCGGGCGCCCGGTTCTAGATGCTGCGGATTGGGATGTGATTAAACTTCCTGACCGAGCAGCGTGGGCGCTCTGGCCCCGCGCCGGAGGGCCGGCACCTTCAGCACACTCTGCTTGGATCCCCAGTGAAGTTATTGTTCCAACTGCCCTGTTCAAGGTCTCGTCCCCTCTTCTCACCTCCTTCTGGCCCCGCTCTCTGCGTCCCTGCCAGAAGAGGCGGACGAGCGGTGCGGGCTCCGCGCCTCCCGGGCGTGGGGAAGGGGGCGCGCCTGGCGGAGGAGGTCGCGCGGCGCAGCCCGGCCCCGTCTCCGCGCCGTGCGGGCTCCGATTCCCGGGCGGAGCGGGACGCGCGACTCCAGCCCGTGCGACTCCTTCTTCCCCGGTCAGCTCGCCAGCGCTCTGCAGGGAGGCGCGATTAAGTCGCACTAAGTGTTTTTTTTTTTTTTTTTTT